AATGAAGTTAAAAAAAATATTATTACAACAAGTTTAACCATGATGGTTCTGAAATAAAATTAGTGTTTATATTTTATACTATGTTATTGGTACCTCAATAAGAAATAATATTATTTAATAACTTAATTTAAAAAAAAAATGATATTATAATTATTGTGTTAATATTACTGTTACTGTATAGCGACTTATGACCAGAGAGTTATGACGTCAGTAACTGAAACTGGTCGATTTAAATCTTCTGTCAGGAAACTAAATTTTAAAATTGCGTGTACTTTACTATCTAGTATCTATGTTAATTTTAGACACTAAGCGTGAAATAATTTATGCACAACGCACCGTCATAAATTATTTTAATCGATTTCCGATATAATAATAACATATATTTTATATTATATAGGTAGGGTTGGTCTGAATATTAACTTTATTGATTTTGGTTTAAATATTTTATCACATACCTACAGTACACTAACTACTAATATCCAATGTTCATATTGTTTTTACAATTCCGATAATTATTAATTTCTGGAATTTAAACAATCATCTCAATAAAAATGTTAATTGACACACAATAGAATAATAGATATTTGTAATCCAAGTAATCACATAATCCGTATAATATAAAACCGGACTAGATTAAAAATACATTAATTTTCTGTTGGGTTAGGTCACTCAGATAGTTATATTCGTTATAGAAGATAATATATTTGCACACACGAAAAGTAGTTGAATAATTTCTGTATAAAACTAATAATGCTACACTAAAGTTAAAAAAAAATCATTAGACGTTTGTACTATCACTGTGTTAACTAGTCATTAAAGATAAAATATGAGTTTATCCACTGCATTAAGAAAATACAAAACAGGTGCTTAAATTGTTTTGTTATTTTAAATAAATAAATTAGAGCAGTGAATAAAGTGTAAAAAACCTAAATAACCATGCATTTACGCTTTATTTTTTTTTATGTTAAAAACATTTGATGTTATCGTGTGCGAGTCCTAACTATTTAAAATTTCATGCAAGCATTCGTTCCAGTCTTGGTGTCTTACTTCATATCTATTACCATTCTAAATATAAAAAAGCCAGTAACGATAATGATGATTGTATGTTGTTAATATACCTCCAATTAATCTATCATTCGATCATAATATTATACATATACTATTTAACATGATTTTATTATTTTGGATTATATACGTGACATTTGGAACGAAAACTAAACAATTTCTGTTTAAAACCATCTTTCCTTATATATAACTATTAGACATCTTATATCGTTCCAAGGTCGTAATCAGACATGTTTTAAGGGGAGGAGTAACCGATTTTCAATTTTACATATTCATAATTTTTTTATATTACTATGATTTTTTTTTGATAAATTTATATTATATATTCATATTAGTAAGCTAACAAAAAATGAATAAAATAATTTCAAATTCACTTGGATTGTTTATTATGATTTATTACTTAAATGTATTTATATATTACAAAGCGATTTTTAATACTAAAACGGCTCTGACCGTCTTCATTCTTCGCCCCTCAGCAGAGAGAGAAAGAAAGAAAGAGAAAGAGAGAGAGAGAGAGAGAGAGAAAGACAATGCCCCTAATTCAATATTTTTTCTTTGTTCAAATTAATGTTCACTGTTTTTAAATATTTAATGAAAACGTCCAAAGCACACACTTTATACCGAATACGGTTAGCTGGTTTATTGACAATAGGTTATAAAATTAATTTTTCTACGAAGCCGTCAATAAGTCAAATAATCTTTGTCAACAACGTTCAATTTGGATACAATAATATTCTAGAGCCTGTCTTAAATAAATGTCTATGGAACAAATTAGGAATATATACTATATGACGTATTATACACTTATTGGAATTTGATATATAGACGATTTTAGATCAGTTGTCTAGATGAAAAGGCTAAATATGTAAAAATGAAAATAATAATAATAATAATAATAATAAAAATAAATGTCTATGATAGTGAAGTATATGTATTCATATATAATATACATCTGTAAACCATGTAATCTAGGTGCCCATATGGTTATAATATATTATTCTACTTACTCTACTTACTCTAGTAACACGGTAATACGGTATGCAATCTTTGGTTACAAAAGGTACCACAAATAAAACATTTTAAATCAATATACTCAATAACCTTATAATTATGGCGTAGGTTCTATTATTAGACTTTAAATTTGAACCCTAAAATGTTTATAATATTCATAGCATTAGTCATTAATAAATCGTTTGTTTTATTATGATTATTATTATTTATCACTATTAATATAATTACATATACTCGTAATACTAAAAAAATGTCTCAACATTATCATTTCTTTAACCTTATAAGAGGATTTCTCGGGAGGGTTGGGATTTGTGAATATTTTTACAAAGATTGTGATGGCTTGAAAGTTTGTTGTGCAAACTATTATTTATAAAAATGTTGAGCTTCTTCATAATTTTTTATTAATGATATGTAGAGTAAAATTAGAAATAAAAGATGAAACATTAACAATTTTGTTGAGCGAGATATTTTAAAATGTAAAATGTAAAATGCTGGTGTTATTGAAATTTACTTAAATTGTGTACATTTTTCCTAACATTAAAATATTTTTAGTCCTGTTTCTATATTGATTGTCAATAATATAAAACAATGATAACTATTGCTTTAAACTTTAAAAATATACTATTTTTTGCACCAAATATTGAAATATAAAATCAAAAAAAAAAATGTTATACTTTTACTATCTAAGCATTATCTAAATTATTATTTTATACTTGCAATAGACGTTCCGATGTTCAAACTTTGTTATAGGTTTTTTTTTTTAAATGTTCATATTTTTTATAGCATATGATATATGCATTTCAAATTAGTACAAGTTAAGTATACCTAATGATGAAGCATGTCAGTGAATACAAATTATATGATTTCACGTAATTATGTTCTATGCAGTCTATATCTGTATTACCTAATTAAAAATGAAGATTAACTTATGTTTTGATGAATAAGATAGTTGATATTTAGAATGAAATCATTATCAGACAAATTAATGGACTATTGAATATACAAAGTAAATTACAAATTTTGTTTTAAATAAATGTGCCTACTTAAATTAAATGAATCAGGTACCTTTACACAACAAATATCAGAAAGTATAACCTTAACTATCTTAAGTTTTATCTACGTACAAAATGGCTAAACATAAATATAGATCATGATTCAATAAGCATGCTCATCTCAATTTTTTCCTATAATAATATAATTATTATTCAAATTCTGATTTTTGAAATTTTAAATAAACTCAAAAACCATTTTTGAAATTCTTAAATTTATTTGTTCTACTCAAGGAGTATATGACAGTGAATTATTTGCAGGATAATAGTGATTTAAAAATGCTGCTGATCAATATTATTTTTTTGTGAAAATAGTCTAAGTGTAATTAAATAGTAGATTCAATATTATACCTGTTTTATATTTTTCATATAAAACCATTTTTAACAAGTTTAATGAGTATTTATTTTGAATGTTTTGCCTAATTTTGTGAAAAATTCAATGATTCAAAAAAAAGAATTTGAATTATTTCATTATTAAAGGGAAAAATGGGGGTGACAGAGTGAGCATGCTTGGTGAATCACTCTGTATATAAGCTATAAGGCACGTAGGTATTATATTTTACTTTACTGAATTTAATTATTGACAAATGACAATGCATTTGCATAATTAAATTTATTAACATTAAATACTAGGTATCATATATTAATTGAAAGTGGTAGGTGATAATTCAAGAGTTGAGAAACATAAAAATGTTGGTTCCCGGTACAATTGTTGAACAAAATAACCAAATGGACAAAATGCATTACTTTTATTAATTTTTGATTGTTATGTTTCTTACGATGGTCTTTTAAAATAAATACATAACTTCATAAAACTTTTTTATATTACGTTCTCATTTAAATTTTGGAATCACTCAAAATATTGTTTCTCAAACATAAACAAATTCATATTTTTATAGTACACTTTTGATGTCAATAAGATAGAAAGATATATAAAAAACGATCTAAGTTGGCTGGTGTTTTTCAGATCTATTACACAATCTCATATTAAAAGCCATGACATAGTTATTTTAAAACACATTAATATCTACATCAGAGCCCAGAGGTGTCAGTGAGTACGTAAGAATGTAACTATCAGAATTTGATTTTCACTGAAGTGAGAACAAATCATTTTTATAGTAACCATAAAATGTATTGATGACATGAAAATACATTCAATGCTATATAATATACAGTAGGTTTAATCTATACAACGATAATCGTAATAACTATGACACCAATAATTTGAATGGCACGATAGTGAAATAAGCGAAATAAGTAATAACTAATAACTCAATATTAGTTTATCACACGTAAAATAAGATCAAACACCATTAAACAATATTCTATAACTAATTAAAATATATATAGACATATACTGAACAATAGGTAAGTTATTTAAAAAAAACACAATATACTAACGCCAGCCATAGGCGCAACCAGAGTCAAAATTATAGGGTGTTAGATAGGGCTACTTCCAACGAAAAATTAATGCAGGCTTAATCCCCACACCCCTGCTAGCATTTTATTTTCATAAATACAATTAACGATCTGAACATAAAGACAAGATATAATAAAAATTGGTACCTGAGGTTGCAAATTTGTTTTGAATGTTTTCACTGCTAATGATATTTGATAAGTCTCACTCGATTGTTGTGTTATGACGTATGTATGGAAAATGTGCTAATCTATGTTAATGTAACATACCTAGTACCTATATAGCTCGTAGCTATGTTTAAATTGACAAAGAAAATTTTTTGACAGTTTTCTACGATGTTAATGTGTGTTGGGGGGGAGGGGGGGGGGGGGGGGGTCTTTCTAGTTGCACCAATGACTCCAACAAATTGTGTAATATACATAATAATATATACATGTACATTGTATTATATTACTTACGTATACTCAGTGTGATTTAAATTTGTGTGAGAATCGTAAGTGTATATTATATTTTAAAGTAGGTAAACGCCACTTGTGTGAGGCGTTTGCGATTGTGCCGCGAGCTCGGACTGAGTGTTACGACGACGTTTTGCTGACGAATGTTTTTTACTTTAAACGACACGATCGGACTTTGGAGATTGGATGTCGAAGACCAGTGCGACGAGGCTATTTTAGCATGAATCGACGTATAAGCGATCGGCTGGCCCGCCGTCGTCATACGAGACCGCGTGTGTAAACCAAATCGACCGGTACTCGTCGGCCAAATGCGATACGGAAACGTGAGGGGCGATCAATCCACCGCGGCCTCGGCAATCGCGTGTGTCGAGTCGCGTGTATAGGTACGCTTAAATAAACAAAACAACTCGGCCCAATGCACGAGCGCACGTCTACACACACACACACACACACACACACACACACACACACACACCACGCGCGTATAGTAACAATTCATACAGGTACGCACTGTACGCATATTATAATTAGGCATACATAAGTCAAATTGCAGGGACAGGAACCCTTATGATTTTTTCAGAAAAATTCCTACAGGTATTGGCTGAAAAAATGTTGGTGGCAAGGATTCCAATTAAAATATTCTTAAAGGATTCTGTTTTCAGAACCTGTCTTTTTCGATGCGTTTCTAGTCCCTGGTACTTAGAGATAATAATATGCAAAATACTTGGTTGTTTTCCCCTTTGTATACATAATCACATTCTTAGTTATTATTTAGCCATTACTGAAGCCTGAAGGTGTGTACGCATGTTTAATGATAATAATTGATAATGCTTATAGCTTTTGGAGTGGCTTTAGAAACATGATGGTTTAAGACGAGTCAGAAACAATGATCCCACCAAAACATAAATTCAGGTTAGAAATATAAGCAAAATAGATAGTTTCTACTGTATTTTTTCGAACTTATCCATCGGATTAAATAGAAATAATTTTAACTGTATACTACTAAGCTAAAGAAGAATATATTTTACATAATATGAAAATTCTTAAATAAAATATTGTTTTTGTATATTCAATAAACATTACACACATGAACGAGTAGGTATATCAATGATGTTTTTATAGTAAACTTAATGTATTTACCCAATGTAAAATATAAACATAGAGACAATTATTGTTTTTAATTAAATATACAAACAGGCATGCAATCGTTTTAATATTTGAAGAACCATGACTTAAAATATATTTTATAATTATATACTCTAATGTACATTATTAGCTAAAATGTCTATGTGGCCAATGGCCATGTACAATTATTTTTAATTAAAGTCTAGGGTTTACACATAGGTATTGAAAAAAATATTTAATTAATTTGTTTTATTAGAACAAGGCTAATAGAAACTTAAGGATACTGTTAGATAATCAATGATTTAGAGATTAAGTATGAATATTTCCCAAAGTACCTATGTGAAGCTGTGTGTTTAATGTTATATGCTTTAATATCAATCTTTCGTATAGGACTTACGCGTTAAGACTTATAATATAATACCTAGACACCTAGTACCTATATGAAAATACTGACAAACATAATAAACATTTATATTTTTTTTATCAAGATGTGTGCATTTCAAATTATTAAAAGCAAACAATATTAAGTTAATTGTTGCTGATGGTAACGTCATGCTAACAAATAACATGTTTATTTCAAATACTTTTCACCATATTTAGTTATTGCCCTTTTTTAAATACAGATTGTTTATTATGACTATTATATAGGAAATAAAAACAAAGTATTGATTTAATAATACCAATGTAGGTAATAAAATAGTAGGTAAAATAGGTATATAATGAAAATATTATGATTTTTAATATATTTTGAAACAATTTAGTATAATATTCAATATTACAATACAATTTTTGGTCGTAAGCTTATATCTTTCTAGAAATTTACATTTGTTTTTAAAATGTAATTTAAAACCTTCGTCCTTCAATCATATATTACATTCAGTAAATTTCTCAAAAATGTATAAAAACAAAACATTTATAATTATTATCATATTATAGGTTGGTATCTAAGTCATTTAATATTTAATGTTGCATTCATCTATTATTAAACAATAAAAAATTAAAATAAAAACCGCATAAGAATTCACTTAAATTTGTTTAAATGTTATATAAAATATAAGTATAAATATTTGTATTTAGTTAGAAGAATTATTCCTGTTTAAGTGTAAAAACATTAATTTAAACATGCGATATTTGAAAAATTCTGAAGGAGAATTCTGTCGGGAATTTCCTTGAATTTTTATTCCCAATGGCATCTATGAATTGTCTAATGAATAATACGTGTAACTATGTAAAACTTAACCTTTTACGGATTATAAAAATATAAACGAAAATCTTACAAGGGATTTTGTACTTTATTAAGTATAAGTGGGATGAGGAATATTATTTATTGTAGTCTTATAATTGTATAATAGTAATAATGACAATATATAAGTATTACGATTATTATTATGGGATGACCACATTCTATGATATTATTCATTTATATAATTTATTATTTTACTGTCTGTAAACTTTTAATTTATACAACAAGGTTAAATAAAAAAAAATGTTTGTACTTCATATTAGAAGTTCTAACGTTATAGTTATAGGTAAATTTAATTTCCATTTTCAGTGATCCACAATTTTTTTTATTCGAATTAATTTTCATGGTAAGCTTAAATTGACGAGCAATAAAGTCATACATTGAAATGTGCCTCATGCATACTCGTATGTATTAGTTTTACTACGAGAAGTTTATTTATTTTTTCAGGCTATGAGAAAAAAAATCTCAAAAAGTTTCATGTGGCCCCATCTATCAATTTGAAGTCGAGTCTAGTTGGCACTATCATAAGGCCGTTTTAATATTAAACCACTATCAAGGTATTCTCAACACCAACTTTCTTTCAAATTAATTTTTTTTTTTAATCAGTTATTGTAATATAATTCATTGAGTTTTTCTTAATATTTTTTATAGTTTTATACAATAAATACTATTATTTTTGGTACTATATTGCATTCCAAATCATTAGAATATTTACTTATACTTAAATTATAATAGTAAATACACGTGTTATGGATATATTTTTTTTTAATAACAAAAAAAAAACAAACTTCCTGTTATTATTGAAAGTTAATTTTAAATAGTAAAATGTTAGTTAATACATATTATACATAGGTATGAATAAACGTTAAAAATAATCACCATTCGTTAAAAAAAATGAATTCTTCTATGTTTAGTTTACTAAATAATGTTAAAATATTATGAGGTAAAAAAAATACCCAGCATGCCAATGAGTCATTGGATACAATGATACTAATAGGTAAAAGACAATTCGATAAAAATGTATTTTTAGTGCAAAAACTATAATCGGACTTGAGAATTTATTTAACTAAAAAGCTCATAATAAATCGTACTAAGAAGACAAATAAAAAATATAATTGCTTAAATTATTTAGATCCACAATAGTATTCATAAATAATTTAGTATTATTCTTGAAAGTTTTGGTGTTCTGGTCAGATTAGGCTACCAGTTTCGGAACCGTAACATTGCATTTGAATATTGTATACCTACATGCAATCAATAACTGTCTTGCAACGACGTGAGCGAAAAAAGAATGGCACCTACCTAATGCCGGACATCCAATCTTCGTTTAGGTACCGTTTTTTTTCATTTTACTTTTCAACAAGATTTGTACTCTCGACTCCACAAACAATCTTCTATTTGATATTCACTGTGGTAATCGACCACTCTATTGTCTCGCTTGAGCTCCCATGAATTCGTCTGGGCCCTCAGGATTTATTTTCTTATGATACTATTTGCTTATGCAAGTCCATCATGGGTATACATCAGCTGGCGGTAAAGTATATTTTTGAAGTACATATAGATTATAATACGACCGGTCGGGCCAACATATTTTATACGTCTAATGGTCCTTAGTTTTTTTTAACAGGACAAAATATTATTCATTTATACTTAGACTGGCGACTACATAAGCTGTGCACAAGAGAATTACTTCAGTTTCTAATTTTTTTAGTCTATTTGTGATGTTAAATTTGTCTCGGAAGTTTGAGTTTATAAAGGCTCAGCAATGTAGGTACACAAACTTTTATAATTTTAATTTGTCACGTTTTCACTTAACCTCTGTTTGAGTAGGTTTCAATAATATTAAAAACGGTTTTTAGTTTATTCTTTTTTGTTGAAATTAATTACATTTATATAAACTATATAACATCATGGTAATATATTTAGTCACATCAAAGTGTCATAGTGCCTATTTGATTGATAAATTAAACATAAATACCTATTACATTTTTAAGTAAAGATTAGATTTATATCTTAGTCGTATACTAATAATTGTATTTATAATGTAAATATTTAATTGGACATTTGGTGTACTATACATAAATATAGGATGATAAATAAATGCACCATTATTGAATTGATTCCACAGGAGCGCGCCACGAATACTGTCGATAAAAATGTATTAAGTTTTAAAAAATTTCAAAAGGCATCATTTGTAAGAAGTTCTGTGTTGTAGGCAATTATTAGATTTCTCATTTTTCTGGTATGTTGCATTGTCGCTTATAATCACATATTATTTCACTGCTAACTTTCGATGTATACTAGTTGGTTCCCGTATATTAAAAACCATACTGAACCAGTTGGGTCCTAGAAAATAATATTTTGTTCTAAAACTGTGTTTCAAGGACTCCTAGAGCTTCGCGATAAGGTAATATGGTGTGTAAAATGGGCTTTTTTAGTTTAAGTAACCAGTCAGGGCCGCGTTAAAATAAGTAAAAATAATGTTCGATAATTGCATGTTTTCTTTGCTAGTAAGTTAAACATTGATGTCAAATTTGAATAAACTTATACATTTTGTGTAAGAATTCAAAGCAAAGTAGTATACCATTTTACTTTTGAGAACTAATTATTTAAATAGTGTTTTTTTCAACACTGTCGTTCATTTTATTTTATTTCAATATTTTTTAAATAATTAATGAGAATTTAATTCGAATTTTGTTTATTTTTAAATTTAAACATCAAAATGTTAATTCGAATTTTCAGGTTTTAACATCAAATAAAAACTTTTGAGTTCTATTCCAGTTCAGTTTTTCCCACTACATAACTATCCATCTGCTAAACATTTACTCACATAACGTACAATGTACATAATACATGTTTATAATTAAGATTAGAATAAGCCAATAAATATTTCATGGTATCTATTGTAGATATTATGAATTTCTTAATAATATTATACA